TACGCCTTCTGGAGTTAACCATCTATATCCAATTGCATTTGTCTGTAGAAAAAGAATTAATTCTTTATTTTTCTTTCTCCTTTGTCTTATTTCAAATGGAATGTCTTTTAACGTTCTGATGGTATTCTCCCCCACCTTCAGGGGTGCTCCAGATACTGCTTTCAGGATTGTATCCCTCACATGCCTCTTTGAGAATCTTACCACAATTTCCCCAGGCAGATTGTTTTTCTTTATATATCCTGAATATGATCTATAGGCCACATCCATTTCGTTTAAAAGAGTTCCGCCTTCATATCTGTCACTGGGGCCAATACTTCACTCATTAGTTCCTTAAGATTCTCTCCCTTTGTCTCTGGCAAGCCCTGGAAGCAAAGGATCATATTAGCCTTTTCCATTTGTAATTGTAGCAGTTGATCTTCCATAGAAACTTGCTTCTTTTCCAGCTTTTGAACTTTCTTTTTCACCTTTTGTGCAGTGGCGTCCACTTTCACCTTTTCAGCCGTTTCATTCATCATTTTAAGTGTCTCGGTTATCTGTGTCTGCTGTGTGGTGATGTACTGAGTCATTTTCGACATCTGATCCTTGAGGTTACTCATTTGGTCCAGTAGAGGGCACATGAATTCTGCCAAAGTATTTGCCAGCTCGTTGGTTCCTTCCGGTTTAGGGCTCTCTGTTAGTTTCGATTTTGTTTACTTTGGAAAATATTTTGAAAGTATCTGAATATGCGTTCAAATGCCTTGAACTCACCTTGGTAAGTATTCTTAACAGTTATGCATGCCTTCTCTTCCGCTCCCCCCCCCCTCGATTTGCTCAATAATTCATGCGGTTAGGAGATGTCCCTCCCCCGTCCGCTTCACTTTCCGTTTTTAAACATGGGGTAGGGAGATTTCTTTTTCTCTTTAACCGTTTTTTCGCTCAGTCAGACTCACGTTCATATCTGGTCTTCCAACCCCGCTTTACTTCATTTCGTCCAATCGATCTCCTACGCCTCAATTCACCCACAACGCGTAGGCAAAGAGGCGACTCCTCATAAGTCCCCTGGCTAGGAGCCTTCCGCCAGGCTCCCTGGGGGGGGTAACGGTCCAGTGCTCCCCCTCCTTCCCGCCATGCACAGACCTCATCCCCGGGAGGTCCGGGAGATGCGTCTGTCTAGTGTGCCGCCATCAACCGGAAGTCCGCAGCCAAAATATTTCCTTCAAATGGCAACATCATCTTCTCCAACATCACTTTAAAAAATTGCAGCTCAGTGTTAAAAGTAGCATTGTTGTTTAGATGTCCAAAAAGATTATTAAAACTTAAATAATTAATGGGTGGGATAGCAGTTGTCCTCTGACAGTGTGACAGCCATGCTGGATCTTCCCTTAAGTTCTGGAGTTTAATTCTTTTTTTAAAAAAAATGAGGGGTGTGGGGGGGAGCTCCACTCAAAGCCCGCTCACAAACTGAGGGGGCGTGACAAGAAATTAGTCTCATTAAGTTGTATGTCTTTGGGCTGGACTGCAGGTCAAGTAAGGTAATCACTCAGTCTTATAATCCACCCCTCACCGATGCTGGCTGTGATGACGGCCACAATAGGTAGAGTTCGGTTTTGTTCTTTTCGAAAAGGCAAATCCCAAGTGATTTATTTCAAAGCCAAGGGTTTTTAAAAAGCCTCTCTTCTAGTGCATTTCCCCCCCTTAAATTCTCTCGATTCCCTTTCTCATACCCCTCGCTCTGTGCGAACTAATCTCTCTCTTTTTTTGCCCTTTGTTTCCTTTTCCCAGTCCAAATAGGATCAGAAGGTAACCTATTAGCTCAAGGCTTTCTCTTCTTTCAAATCCCTCCTCAAAAGGTGCTCCCTCCCCCCATGGCATAATTTCCATAATTCTCGTCCCCAACCAAAACAATGCTTAAGTATGTATAATTTCCTTTGGAAATACATCCCTCTTGTTTCCCTCCCCATCTCTTTCCCCACCCTTTCCTGCTATAGAACCTTTGATTGTAAATTCCTTGGGAACAGAGTCCTATATTTTCTTTTATGCTATTATATACAGAGACATGTACAATGATGGGGGTTGCATTGTTCATAACAATAGTCCTACTAATTGCAGGTTGCTCCCTGGTTCCAAACAGAGAACCCTATCACAAATCAGATCTCCAACCAGTGCCTCTAAGCCAAGTTGGTGGGTCGGATCCAGACTAAACTGGTATTTCCCACCAATGCTCCCTCTAAGCTGTGGAGTCTTGTGAGCAAAAATTCTACCTTGTGAGCTGCTGGCATTAAAGTTGTGAGCGAGCAATTTGGCTATGGCATCAATTAGTTTGCTCTGGAGCCATCCTTCCAGAACAAAGGCAAGAATGTCTGAGCTGGAGGCTAAAAAACTGTGAGGTAGCTCACACTAGCTCAGCTTAGAGGGAACAGTGTTTCCCACTGCTTCCTCCTTCTCGTTGCAGACCTCTCTCATGTCATTCCTCAGGGTCCTATATTCCCAAGAAGAGATGCTGAGCAGGGTCGGCCCTGGTGAAATAGAAATTTATTTGTATTTAGCCACAAGCCATTACAAACCAAGGATCAGAGTAAAATATAAGATATAATAAAACCATGCAATCCAAATAAAATTGAATCAAAAGGTATCTGCTAAGATCAATATTAATTAGTTCCCATAAGAACAGCGTTAGCCCGTATTTTCTTTGCAGCCAAGGCATATAAAGACATTCTATAGAATATGTTGGTGTCAAAATCAGCTAGCAAGAATACAATCTTCTCAGAATCTGAGTAGAAACGTAGGTCTGATAGAATCCTGGAGAGAAATTTTAACCTAGGTTGGGCATACATTTGGCATTGAAGAATATAATGGAGAAGATCCTCGATAACTGAAGAGCCACAAATACAAAAGCGCTGTTCCTTAGGTGTTCTGGGCCGGCCCTGGTTAGTTGGATGGGAAACAACCGAGGAATTCCAGGGTTGCTACGTAGAGGTGGGCAATGGCAAACCACCTCCGAATGTCTCCTGCCTCGAAAGCCCTACGGAGTCACCTTAAGTCGCCATCAAGGTGACTTTCTTGCTTCCTTTTCTCACAGCTGTGCTTTCTTTTATCACAGCTCCGGAAAGCAGTGATGGATCACATATCGGATTCCTTCCTCGAGACCAACGTTCCGTTACTGGTTCTCATCGAAGCAGCCAAGAGCGGTAATGAGAAAGAAGTGAAGGAATATGCACAAGTTTTCCGCGAGCACGCCAACAAGCTAGTGGAGGTAAGCCAGACTGCCGTTGACAACAGTATCATACCTTGTATTGACTGTCATGTGGCAAATTGCATTTGAATACAAATAAATTATTCAAGTATCTCTAGGTCCTAGTTGAGACTTGGAAACCCAACAAACTCAACCCAACCAAGTTTTGTTTAGCAGAATCAGCACCATGCTTGTATATACATCTTTTTCATGCATGTGCAAAAGAGCTTGGTCAGCTGAGGCCGAGTGTACCATTTCATGTGTTGTTGTGTGGGACTGTCAGGTGTGCATGTGTGTTAGGTAGAGGAAGGTCAGGTGGGTATGGCGCAGCATGTCTTAACTTATACCAATTTCCATACAAGCGCATCACCGCACAGTAAAATCCAGTTCAAAGGGTAGCCCATCATTAGCCGCGCAAATTGGAAAGCAAGTTGGGAGCTCTGCTTATGCCAGACTCCAGCAGGTCCTCAGTTGCCCCTGGGTCTATCTGCTGAACATCTGGATCTGTTCTGAGTCTGATCATTACTCCATCAAGCTCGGTATTGTCTTCACCACATCTGGTAGAGGCTCTCCATGACCTCAGACAAAGAAACCTCCCAGCTCTGCTTCCTGGAGTCTTTTTAACTGGAGATTCCAGTTTGGTGTTGTGGTTAAGAGCAACAGACTCTAATATGGAGAACTGGGTTTGATTCCCCACTCTTTCACATGCAGCCAGCTGGGTGACCAGGTACAGTTCTCTCAGAGCTGTTATCTCGAGAGCAGTTCTCAAAAGAGCTCTCTCAGCCCCACCTACCTCACAGGCTGTCTGTTGTGGGGAGAGGAAGGTAAGGAGATTGCAAGCTGCTCTGAGACTCTGAGTGAAGGGTGGGCTTCTTCTTCTTCTTCTTCTCCTCCTTCTTCTCCTCCTTCTCCTTCTCCTTCTCCTTCTCCTTCTTCTTCTTCTTCTTCTTCTTCTTCTTCTTCTTCTTCTTCTTCTTCTTTTTCTTCTTCTTCTTCTTCTGTGATTGAACCTTCCTTGAGATTTCCTACATGCAGCACATGTGCTGTACCACTGAATTCTTGTGTCCCACCCTGAAACACTCCGACATCAGTTTGGGGTTGACTTTTTACAAATCAAATGATGAAAACTCTAGAATCATCATGAAGCAGTAGCCATACGTATAAGTAGTATAAGGAGCTACCTTATACTAAATCAGACCAGTGGTCCCTCAAGGTCAGTACAGACTCTCAGGCAGCGGCATTGCACATCACATCACCTACTGCTTGGTCCTCTAACTGGAGATGCCAGGGATTTAACCTGGGGCCTTCTGGATGCCAAGCAGATGCTCTGCCACTGAGTCATGGTCACGCCCTCAAGGAGTACCTCTTCCCTTCCTCAAATCAAAACTGACTTTGAGTCCAAAGTAGGTGTCTGTGTTGGTCATTTTGATGTTTCATTTCAAATGTGGATCTATTTAAGGCCAACATTGGTTCCTGAGTTTGGTCAAATCGATTCACTTCTTATTTCACCCTGCGAGGTCCTCTGTTTCACTGGAAACTTAAACGGCATCCAATCAACTGATGGATAACCTGGGAAATGTAGGCTCTGATAGCTACTCAGAGGCTCCTATGAAGCCACTAGACCACACTAGAGCCTGTAGGCCGCACCACTATAGGCCCAGGATTGTGACAGTGATTTTCAGATCTTCTTTATAAGGCTGCACTATAGACTTTGCATATTTCAACATCCCTTCTCAAGGTCTATTGTGCTGGTCCACAAGATTCATTCTTTTTCACAGAATTTTGAATTTCTTATGAAGAAATGGTTCGGTAAGGATATCAACAATCATGAGGCTTCCGGTCGAGTCAAGATGGAGGACTGACGCACTTTCACTTTTGTGCGAAGTGGGCGACGGCTGCTTTTGACAGTTTGGGCAGTTTCTAGCCCAGCGCATCGCTCCCCAGCGAGGGGGGGGGACAAGCAGGCAGCAGCGCCTAAGAGGGAGTGTTAGGTTGGCGTGATTCCGCTTCGGAAGAAGCGGAAACAGGCTTTGATCTCCTCCCGCGAAGAAGGCAATTGCCGAGCAACTCTCCAGCAGCCGTTCGAGCCGGTGTACCGGTTTAAATTCTCCATCAGCCGACCTCTTGAAGATGGGCAACAACAGTGAGTGAAAAGAAGCAATGCGAAAGCCCGTTTTGATCGTGTAGATAACAATAAACGTGCCGCTTACCTGAACTGCGTTAAAAAATAAATTGAATCAAGCGGATGAGCGGATAAAGAATTAATATTCCCAGAACTCTGATTCCGGCAAAGAAATAGTTGATTGAAGGCTATAAAACAGCAAAAAAGCATTTTGTTTAACATTCCTGCGGTGAGGACGGAGCTGAGCGCGCAGCAGAAAAAACCGAAACTGACGAACAGTATCGCGGGAAGATGTAGGTTGGTGTAACCGGCAAAGTACTCCGAGTAGGTTGAGCAGTGAGAAGATATCCTAGAAGGGTAACAATCAACAGGAAGAAACTCGGACTCTTCAAACTGCAGGACCGGATGTGAGTGTATGCGAACAGACGGGACCTGCAAAACGCCAAACCGACCTACTCTATCCCTAATTACCATAGAGAAGTTGCGCCCGACATTTTGAGGAGGACTTTAACTTAATTTGATTTTTAAAGACCTTTTAGAAGATTTTTGAAAGCGCAAATAGACGCATTTGGACAATCGAAAGCTTATCTTCTAGAAGAAACAACTTGTTGTGTAAGTTTGCGCACCGCAGAGAAATCGCCAAAACGAAGACCAGAAGGGCACCGAAACGAACCAATTCTGACCCTGACGTTCAACCAGTTGTGAGACCAAGGACAGGCTCAACATCAACCCCTAAAATGTCAAAAGAGAGGGAGAAGGATAAGAAAGAATTGTATGCAGCCATGGAATTGATGGAGAAAAGAATGATGGAGGCGATTCAGGCCATGGGTGAGCAGATTGAGAAAAGGTTGGGGGTGCAAGAAAAACATATGGAGCAGCAACTGGAAGAGCAAATGGCAAAGCAAACTCAGATACACTTGAAACAAATTGAAGAAGCCCAGGAGAAAAATGTAGCAGCATTAAAAGAATTGGTTACAACAGAAATTACTTCAATCAAGCAAGAATTAGATGGAGTCAGAAAAGAAATACAGGCTAGTGCAACCAAAACTACAGAGACAGAGGAAAAAATGCAACAATTGGAAGAGAAACAGGATTCTTTGACTCAGCAATTTAGGAGATCTGAAACAATGATGGAGTTCAGAAGAATGCAAACTCATTTGAGATTTAGAGGTATCAAAGAAAAAGAGAATGAAAACATAAGAGAGGAAATGATAAAAGCGATCACTTTGTACTTGGAAGAGGAAGAGGGAACAATGGAAGCAGATTTTGATTTGATATACAGAGTGAACTCCAGAATTGCGGAAAAGAAAAATTTACCAAGGGATGTAATTGTACAATTTGTAACAAGAGCAACAACAGAAGACATCTTTAAGAAACAATTTACCGTCCCGTTCGAAATTGAAGGGAACAAGATCATGGTGATGAGAGAGCTCCCACGAGCAGTATTGCAAGATAGAAAAAGGTATAAACCTCTGGCTGACAAACTGAAGACCTTGAATATCAGATACAGATGGGAGATTCCACAAGGCTTATCCTTTACTTACAAAAGTGGGAGGGTCCAGATCAGATCGGTGACGGACTTATATAAATTTAAGGCAGACAATTTAGATGCCTTTGGAGAAATTTAACTTAAAATTTACAATGGATTACAAATTGTTGTCATGGAATGTGAATGGACTAAATTCACCAAATAAGAGAAAAAGAATCAATCATTGGATACAAAAACAAAACTGTAATGTGATATGCTTGCAAGAAACTCATATTAGAAATTCCGATACTAAATATTTAAAAAATGTCAAATTTGGATTAGAATTTTATTCTTCGGCCTCAAACAAGAAAAAAGGAGTTGTGACATATGTGAAAAAGGATTTACAACCTAAAGAAATTTTTAAAGACTTGGATGGAAGATATGTGGGTGTGGAAGTTTTGATCCAACAGAAAAAGACATTGGTGATCAATCTATACGCACCCAATGGAGCAAAAGAAAAATTCTTTAAGGACTTAACTGAACATCTACAAGGACAAACCTATGAACAAGTCATTTTGGTCGGAGATTTTAACGGAACTGTGGACCGTTTGGATAGAAGATCACAAAAAGGCAACGAAATTAGTGGAAAATTGCCAAAGAACTTTTTTGAAATAGTCAAGCAGGAAAAACTAGAGGATGTATGGAGGAAATGGAACCCGACGCAGAAGGATTTTACTTTTTATTCCAATAGACATTGCTCTTTTTCCAGAATTGATATGATTTGGATGTCAGAAGAATTGTCAATGAAAACACATAAAATTGAAATTTTGCCAAGATGTAATTCCGACCACAACCCTGTTTTGTGGACTTCTATAGAAAGGAACAAATCCTTTCTTTGGAGAATTAATGAAGATTTGTTGGATAAAAAAGATGTAACTGAAATGTTAAAGGAAGAAACAAAGCAATTTTTCCAACAAAATCTGAATAAAGAGACCCCAATTCAGGTGGTGTGGGATGCGTATAAAGCAGTGATGAGAGGGATTCTCATCTCTCAAAATGCGAAGCAAAAGAAGGAAAAATTTCAAAAACAAACAGTAGTGTTGGAAAAAATATCACAAAAAGAAAAAGAATTAAAGAAGAAACCAGGGAAAAAGAAGATTATTCGAGAATTACAGTTGTTGAAAGAACAACTGAATGAAACTTTAAACCAGGAGCTCTATTGGAATTTAAAGAGGCTACAGCAAAAATCTTTTGAAGGGGCAAATAAACCGGGGAAATTTTTAGCGTGGCAACTTAAGGCTAGAAAAGAAAGAAGAATGATAACCAAAATAATAGAAGAAGGAAAAGAATTCGTTGACCCTACTGGCATAAAGAGAAGTTTCTTCAAGTATTATGCTAAATTATTCCAAGCAAATAGAACAGATCTTGAGA